ATTAAAAAAGCTAAACAAGAGGTTAAGTTTCTCTCGGCTAATTTCTTTTTAACATCTAATATCTATATTATAAAAAGTGTCAAAGCACTTATTTCTTTGCTAAAATAACTCTTCCATTTTCTAGGAAATAGTAATTTTTGATATTGAATTTCGGACAACCAAAATCCTCTCTTGCACATAATTTCATCTCGCTTTAAATTGTTTGTATGATTATTAAAAATGATTTGAATTATGCTGTTATTAATATACAATATTGTATATTGATCAGTATCTGTTATCATATATAAATCCTGTGCAGATGTCATCTATGTTGTCAATTCGTTACACGTTTACTACAACAGATTGACCTTTGCTCCACACTGAAATCCACACTGTACAATATTTTGGACTCGTCAGCCATATGTTCTGCATCCTACTGTTTATTCCTACACTCAGTACCTTTTAATTCAAAAGTCAATATATTATTCTCTGACCTTCTTAGTCTGGATTGTCACTTACCTGTGCACTTACCTGTGTATGGGTACATCCAACTGAATGGAACGAAACGTACCTGTTAGATCCTATCTATTTTTGAACTTGTGTGTTTCAGTTGTGAATAATGATGCGTATTTTTTATTACCGATATACTTAATGTAACGTGTATACAATATGTTGGTATAGGACCTTGTAATATATTTTGCTACTTCTCAAAGAAAGCTGAAAATGATGGTGTAATTCACTGAGAAGTATTAAATAGCGTCTAAAAAACGTGTTTCCTCATTTCCAATGCTCTTCAATGTTTAAGAAGCATGCTTTTTACATTGATGTAGATTGATTTCAATGTTTAACAAAAGGAGAAAAAACAAATTTCCGATATCATCTTGAAACTGTAATTTTTAGTATCTATAACTTGGAACGTCACCAATTAGTCAGTTTTATTTACTAAAGTAACATAAAACTGCATGTCACCAATGAGCCTTTTTACCACAAATGTATGTTCAGTAGTTAAAATGCTTTTTTTGAATTTTTGGCAACATACCAGTTAAAATAAAAGTGTAAACCATTAGTTACTACTTTATATGAAATGCACATTATAGTTCATATTAAAGGTGTTTGTTTGTTATTATTTTATAATAGTAGTATAAGTTTTTCTCACATGCTTTTCATCATATTCCATCTGTACTATAAATAGATTCAAGTTTTAAAAAATCCATGTCGTATTTAGACGTACTGTAGATTAGCCACCTATATACATATTTTAAATATGACTATTAATAAAGAGTTGAAATCAATAAATCCTTGCAAACTGTTCTTCCGGTATAATACCTTTCCTATAAACTAGAAAGTTTAAAAAAAATTAAATCTGATTTTTTGTTTGATTGAGTAAACATGACAACTTTATTCAGATGACACGCCTATGTTAAGTAAACACAAACCGTAAGTAACTGATGATAGGAAAGGCAATAATTTAAATGTCTAGACATGCAAATATCCAATTATATTTATACTACACTCCAAAAGAGATTGTAAAACTTATAATAGTCAGCCTATTTTATTAATATTTGCTGAATTGTATCTATTATTTAGTTACCTATTTATCTAAACTAATACTAGTCAGTATAGACGTTTTAAGTCAAGATTACATCATTCTTATTGATAAATGATCTAATAATAAGAAAACATTATTGATTTATTTGTAATATATCATACCGTTTAAGTAGGGGAGTTCCTAATTAACTAATCAATTAAATAAACAATTAGTAACTATTAACACTATCAATGTTGCTTAGAAATTTCAATATGAAAATCTAGAAAATTTTATATAAACGATTTTGTTTTTACTCGTAAATTCATCAACAAAAATGGCACAATTTCTTTAGGCAATACTACAAATTACAATTACAATTAGCATTGCTTGAATTTAATTATGATTGTTATTTTAATAAAACATGAGAAAAAAACAAAAAAAAAGTAACAAGAGACATTTGAATTTCAGTTGGTAACAAAAGTTGATTCTTTGTTTGTATTTTTTTGATTAACTACAAAAGCAACGTAAAAAATTAGCTAATTTAAATGGTTTAAATAGATGCAAAATTAGTTTGCATATTTTCTGATGAGCTTTTCTTAATTAAGGTGATGAAATTAAAGTGAAAAATTAATTATCATTGAAAGTCTTGTTTAAATTATTTATTAAAAATTTATTTAAGTTCTATTGACTTTCATTTAGAAAGTCACAATTATTCTATATACATTTATAAGTAAAGATCTATAGTGAATAGCAGTGGAATCCAGGACGTGTGTTTTGACGTATTCGGGACCATTCAGATAGATTTACATGCATCCTAGAGTTGATGTTTAGTCTGGGATGCGAACAAGCAGGTGGCTAACAGTACTCAATAGCTAAGTGGATAACGCGATGGCGTTTGAAGCGAATGGTACTGGGTTCGAGTTGCAGGCACATCCAGTTGACGTGTCCCAAATAGGACGAAACGCGCGTCCTGGATTCCACTGTTAGCCACTATCCACCTTTGTTTACAATTATCGTGACTTAAGGCAATATCGAGGCAATCCGTAAATGATGGACATATGTCGACAAGAAACTGATCAGTTGCAGTCCCAAACGTCAATGGGAAGATATATGCAAATAACAGCAAATGAATTTATTCGACGTACCATTTCGAATTATTTTCCCATGGAAACTAGTTTTATTTTGTCATAAAACATTTCTTTAGACCAGTATTTAATGAAAACTGTTATTCATTATGGCACCCTATCTAACTCATAATCACTGTATTATTTAGACAAAAAATCATATTAACCCGATGATTTAATTAAAGTCTGAGTTTATTATTTTTTTCAAATACGAATAATCAGGACTCATAATTTAGAAAACCCGTATAATCCTGGAAGAAGTGGATACTTGTTTCGTTCCATTGTGAGACTGAACACTCACGATGCACTAATAAGGTATCGAACCCTAGACTTTCGGGTCTGCGCGAATTGCTTAAAACCAGACTTGTATACTGTTGTATCCCACCTGAAAAGTTTGAAAAATGAGTATTCGCGCGCAAATACGGAGGTGCCAGGTTTGACTCTTTGGATGCGTACTGATGAGAAGTTACTTAATGGAACAAAACGGATGTCTAGTCCTCCCAATTTTTCACTGGTTATCTAACTTAAACTGGGTCGTGATTTTATGGATATTGGATAATTCTTACAACCTTAAATTGATAAAACCTAATGTCTATCATCATAGTTAGCTAATGTCTCTGATGCACTAAGTTTGAACCCTTTTGAAAAAAAACTTTCGGATTTAAATTCTAAATTTGAAACAGTTTGTGTGGTTGATGCTTGTGCATAGAAAAGTTATAATAACAGTCGACTAATTTCTTTCGGCACTGAAAGTGTCAAAAATAACTGTATATATATAGTTTATAAGAATGTAAAGAAATTTGAATACAACGATAAAGTTGATATGCCATTAAATACCTAAATATTTTGAAATATTTGTGTGTCGGAACTTTTTAAATGTATATAATGAAAGGATGGATATATTTTATGCAGATGAAATTAGTCCCTTTGTCGACAACCAAATCATATCACCAATTTTATTCCCCAACAAAATTTGTTGTTAAGGTTTTAAGATTTAATAAAATATGTTTTTGTCAAAAATAAGGCTATTTAAGTCTTTTTGTAATAAGGTATTGAGAATGTAGTATATCATATTTTAAGGGATACTTTGGGTTTTACTACTATTTTTAGCTTTATTTCAGGTAGATTACGTCAATAAACTTGAAGATTTATGGAATAAATCAGTATGTAAGCGGTTTTAGATAAAATAATGATTGCTGCTTGATATACTTACGTTTCCATTCCGTACATATAATCAACTGAATATGAGTTTAGTAATATAGGATAGAAAAAAAGCTGGACTTCAAATAATGTGTTTGACTGTAGGTTTATAATGTATATGCATCATCAGTTTCGTAATTCCATTTAACAAACAATAAAAAACCAACTTCCGTAATAATCATAATCATAAATACGTACTGTTTCCAAAGGTTTCTTTATTCCCATGAATGACAATATGAGCTTTTTAAAAAAATCCTTGATTATATCGCGCTTCGTAATCAGTGCCTTTTAACTAAATTAGAACGTCTACTGTATTAGATATTTAATATCCTTTAGATTCCATTCTAGTGTGTTATCTCATACTGATCACATTGTTTGCTTAACGTGTGATAGAATGCTATACAAATAAACTTCATTCCAACAGTTGAGATCATGAGTCGATTGAAGCTAAACCACCATGGAAAACCTGGAAGCCTTGGACGGCCGTTTCGTTTTATTGTATGACCCCTCAGCAGTGCACATCCACGACCCCGCCTTGCGGGATTCAAACCCAGGACCTATGAGTCTCGCGCCAGGCGCTTAACCAACTAGACCACTGAGCCGACATCCAACGGTGTAAATGTCTAGCTTCGACTAATCCTCGAAATCTAGCGACACATCCACCATTGTCATCAGTGAGTTACTACCTCACAACTGAACCGGTCGAAGTCCATTGGTCACTACTTCTCACTTGAAGTCCAGGAGGCGGGGTCGTGGATGCGCAATGCTGAGGAGTCCCACAATAAAACGAAACGGCCGTCAAGTGCTTCCAGATTTTTCATAGTGGTCTAGCTCCAATCGACTCATGATCCAAACTGTTGAAATTACTACAATCTCCACAAAACCCCTTCTGAAACTTCATTCCGTTTGTAATGTTAAGTCTTGATTAAAAACTATCCCCTATAGATTGCTTAGCACAACGTTAATTCCACTAGTATGAGTCAAATAATTTGATATTTGTCCGCATTTAGCTTCATTGATGACTTAATTATTCAAGAAAGTAACATTGTTAAACAAAATTATCCCAGTTTTTTTTAATTCAAATACCAAGTTCAGCTAGATGATATATCACAAAGAAATGTTAATTTAAATAAAACAATTAATTAATAATTTGGTAATCATTAACTTACCAAACAGAAATAAAATATAAATGAATATCCTCATTGAAACGGACAATGAAAAATACATGTTGTATTTCATTTCGAAGTCAACCATGATTTATTAAGTTTCTTTCTTTTAAGATGAAATCATACTTTATCCTTAAAAGAAATAATCCCTAATTTATTTACAGAGAATTTGCTGATTATCATTAATAATCTTTTCCATCACTAGATATCATTTAATCAATTAGATAAGTAGTAAGTTATATCATAAAATTTGAATATACATTAAATTTTGTAAGTAGTAGGATATGAACTGATTTAATTTATGTCATTTGTTTTGTATGTAATTGTACTCTAGGAAAACTGTAATGTAGTACATAGAGTATGTAGTAAATCCTCAGATATACATAATGAATAGAATGAGTACTTGATTTATACTATATGATATACAATCTCTTTTTTTCATATAAGAAGCATGTACATGATATATAAAAGAAGATAACTTTACAAAAATTGTAATTTAGATGACGATATTGAAATTTATAAACATTGGACATTGTATCCCATAAAATTTTAAGTATATATATAATATCTCACTATCTTCAGCACTCTCTAAATATTCGGACTATTTTTCTTTAATAGAAATAAACATTAAAGTTTATATCTTCAGATATATTTTTCTTTTGTTTTGTTTTTCTTTCGTTACCATACTTTATCTTTAAAAATGTCAACTATACTAGTTAGTGCACAACAAAATAAGTTAAAAGCAGTTTTATTGGAACACAGTACACGCATTTTTTCATAGGAGGAATTAAAATGTATTAACTAAAAGACAAACACATATATACATATATATATAGGAAATAAAACAAAAAGTTATAATTCACATTTTGATAAGTTTCAGTTCACATCATCTGTGATTGGTTGCTAGTTGGAACTAGGTGTTTATAAATAAATTGAGTGCAATATATTAGTTATTATGACAAAAAAAGTAAAATAATGAAACTGATTTTTTCTATTTTATTTTTTGAATATTGTTTTAATTTAATAAAATTATGTTGAGAACGTTAGATCCCCAGAACTCACTTGGGAAAGGACCTAATTTTTGTAATTTTATTTAGAAAATTTGAATTTCTTTGTTTTCGCACCAAAGGCGCTCTTGTCACCTTCATGTCTCACTTCCCACTGGGAAATATCTTAAATGCTATCAGTCCGTTGCGTCTTTTAGTATGCTGTTTGGTAACTCTTCCCAAGGACGGTTTTGTACTGTATATATACATTTTGAATTGTTTGTTGTGACCGCTCGTTTCTGGCTGTTTGCAGAATATACTTCCCCACTCCAAGCTTGGACTTTTCCCTCTAGTTAGCGATGCTGGGACGCATCAAATAGCTAGCTTACTGGTCTTTGGTCACTGAGTCTTTGTTCTCGTTCGTAGACTAAGTGAACTCGTGATAGCTTCAACCCTAGCAAAATGACAGTTTCTAATGAATACCTTTTTAAAAGTACTTATGGTATATAATTGTGCATGACTACCGTTCTCATATTATTCCTAAACGTTGGTTTACAACTTTCTGCTTATATACATACGATTTATTTAAACTATTATTAAGTTCAAAGATAAGACTAGTATACTACACAAAAAAATAGAGTGAAAATATCCATGAAGACAAATCTGGTAGAGAAATTGTTACATAAGATTTCAAGCTCATGAATACACATCATCTAGAGAAAATTGGTTCGTTTTATATCTTTATGAGAATAACGTTTGTCATAAGTTGTTTTAAAACTTATATGCTTAGAAATCACCGTTAAAACTTAGTAACATTAAAGGAGATAGCGGAATAATGAACAAGTTACTGATTAATAATTATTATTATTTTGAAATGATCGGGATCGGGAATTACTATAAAGTTTGAAGATTGTGTTTGCTGTTTCAGATTGTCGACGTTGACTACTGAAGAGTTCGTAAAAACACTAGGACCTATGATAAATGCACCACAACATAATGAAAATTAATTTTAAACCAAATAATGCTATTTAATCGCGTGACAAGTAGACAACGACATATCGGAGGACTATAATGATGATTTTGTTTTAACTAAAAACTATAAATACCTGACAGTTTGTACCATAATTGACACTGATTGGAATAAAATTCCTTTTAATTGTCTTCCGTCTTCTCATTTTCGACTTGACAGTGTTCTAGCATCGAGTGCTCAAGTCATACGCGGTATAATAAGAATCTAGGCTCTAGATATAAGTTTACTTTTCATACTAAATGAAATTGTTTCCAATCTGTTCACAAGACGTATGTTCGATCAATTCCATTGCCGTAAACAATTACTATTATCGAATGTTTTGGTTAGAGTATATACAGCATACTATACCTCCTTCTAACCTAAGTAGTAGTTAGTGTAGTGAACAAATTGTGAAATAAGAATGAAGATTTGAGTAGAATAACATGAATTCATATTATTCTGTTTGGTTTTTAGTTATTATAGAGTGTAAGCGGCTGACGTGAACCAAAAGTTATAAAACAAAAGCGCACTATTTTGTTCAAATATTTAATCTTTCTCTCCTCAAGACGAAAAAGAAAACTTTCTTTATGAAAGTTAGATGCGTTCGATGTTTTCTAAGCTTTGTGAAGTAATGTGCAGGAATTTAGGGAGTTGATGCGACAATCTATTTACTTTTTAATTTAATTTTCAAGAAAATAAAAAGTTCACAACAATTGCAGATAAAGAATTAAGTGCAAACGCTACTGAAATAACAACCAAATGAACTTTGACTAAAGAGCTTCCAATTAGAAAATTTTTTAACACAGAAAATCCAAAGCGCCACACAGGGGTAATTAGAAGTTGATAAACAGCCAATTCAGTTAGTACTACATGAAGAAAATTTGATAACTAGGCTGACGTTTTACAAACGCAAGTTGCAAATGATCGAATGAACATTATCAAATCAAATTACTCGTTAACCCATTCATAAGAAGTCAAGTCTATAAGATCTAAATTGATAGCACTAGAAATAGTTTGAATAATAGCCCGGGGGAAGAAAGCATAAAGACACATTTGAACAAAAGAATAAACAACAAGAGTGAGTCTTGAGCCTTCATGTCACATTATTTGTATGGCTTATGAAAAATCTATACGACGGACGTTTGCGTCAAACTATAATGGCCATTGTGTAATTTATAAATTCTCACGCTCAGTCGCTGATTAGCGAAACTCCATGGTATGAAAAACAAATTCAATACATTCAAATGGTAAACGTTTTCAAGATATTTGTGTGATTCATGTTTCGATTGGATGTGGCTAGCAGTGGAAATCAGGGCGCGAGTTTTGTCCTATTTGGGACTCGTCAGCTGAATGTACCTGCATCTCAGTGTTGATGTTCACTCTGGAACTCCAACCCAGTACCATTAACTTCAAACGCCATCGCGTAATCCACTTAGCTACTGAGTCCTGTGGTCGCTTGCTTGTGCAATGGGTTTAAGTTTAATTCACTTGATATTGTTTTACTTGAATCTTCCCACTGAGGTTTAATACTGAAATTGATCAGTCTCTTAATAGTATATGTGCATAATGTGATTACGCCTCAATAGTGCCTTAATTCACAAGCTTTTATAAACAAAGATGGAAAGATACAAGCAAAACTATACCAAGTGAATTTATACTATAACCCATTGCACAAGCTAATGGCTATCAGGACTCAGTAGCTAAGTGAATAACGCCATGGCGTTTGATGCGAATGGTACTGAGTTGGAGTCCCAAAGTGAACATCAACACTGAGATGCAAGTACATCCATCTGACGAGTCCCAAATAGGATGAAACTCACGTCCTGAATTCCACTGCTAGCCATTATCCATCTTTGCTTATAATTAGTACTATTATTTCCAAGTTATTAAGAGCTTAGAAGGATCTGCAAAAAATGGTGAATTTTCCTAAGATTGCAGTTATTCAAATAGTAAGAAAATTAATCATATCTAAAACACTGTTTTACGATTTTCTTAGTTGTATGTGTACTTTGACAAAAAAGAAAAAGTACGACAAACCGATACCAAGAACCAATTTCATTTTTGAATTTACATAATTCGTGAATGTGCACCATATAAATAAATACATAAGTTACAAACATATTGATAGTGAGGTGACATCAGTTCGAGATCTTTTAAAAGACAAGAAATAACGAATAACTGTTTTAACCTATTTTTCAACACTTATCGTTGAATTGAGTAACATCCGGTCTTATGGTCAACCTGACTCAATTTTCCTACAGTCCTATGTTGCATATAATATATTTCTCATTTTTGCAGTATATCTTTCCCATCCATTACTATTAATTAATATGAACGTAAATTTATGAAAAATTTCAATTATGACGAATAACCTCTTAAATTATTAAACCAATAAACTTCTTAAACAAATACCTGTTTGTCATATAGTGACAAATTTAAACACCTAATACCTTGACCTAAAAATAAACAAAAACAATTTATGTATTTTCATTAAAAAAAAAGGTAAATAAAAATGTCATAAGCATATTGGTTCAACAAATTTAGAACATTCATTGTACCAAGTTCATAAACAATCTATTAGCATGAAAATGAAAGAATAATGTATGAAATTTATAAATTAACATTTGAAGATGTTAACAAGAGATGAATTAAAATGTTGAGAAATATCGACATTTAAACATTGTTTAGTTGTCTAGTTATTTTGTTTTACCATAGACAGATATTTATATGTTAACAAGTTAGAATATCAGACAAATATATTGTTCTTTGTTTCCTTACTACATTTGAGCAAAAAGAGTTAGAATGTTAGAAAAAACCTCAAAGGATGAAAAAAATTGTTTAAATAATAATATAAACAGAATGCTAATCAATATGGTTTACTCAGAGTTGACTACTCCATCTTTGTCCAGTTTTAGATATTTATAGTTTTCCATAACGTAATATGAGAAAAGGTCAACAGTTTTTAATAAAAACTGAACTGACCAAATATAAATAAATTTCACTATTGTGTTCGATGATGAGCTGTTTTGTTTATAGTTACTAGTGTGGTATGTGCTATCGATGTCGACAGATATAAGTAGTCAGCATCATCAATGGAAAGTGGAAAGAGACTACAAATAAAGAACGATTGTTGTAGGAATAAAAGAAGTCTGAGATAATTGGCTGATATTTGCAAAAAGAACAGTTAAGTTTTAAACAATTGATTGACATTTTGCAAATGAATTATATACTGTATGGTTCTCATATTTTACTAAGATGTTCTGTCATTTTATATTCAAATACATCCGATTGTCCCCACTTGTGTTCTCGTTCAGTACACTATCAATAATCTCTAGTTAATACCCAATATCAGAAGGGGTTTTGTGGAGATTTTAGAAATTTCACGGATTGAAATCATGAGTCAATTGAAGCTAGACCACCATGTAAAACCTGCATGCACTGGACGGCCAGTTCGTCTTATTATGGGACTCCTTAGAAGTGCACTATTGAAATCACTAAAATCTTCACAAAACTCTTTTTAATAATAATCATCTCACTAGTGACTGACTTCAAGAGATACTCTTGGAGTTCTAGTTAGAAGTCGTTACCACTGGCGTTCAACCAGGTCTGTTGTGAGAAATCAACTCACTGAAAACAATGCTGTATGGTAGTGCAATTTCGTGGATTGGTTGGAATTAGACATTAACATCGTTGGATGCCGGCTCAAGGGTCTGGGTGGTCAAGCGTCT